AAATGATTTTTTAGAAAATAATTACAGATTGACGCCAAAATAGAATTAAAATTATAAAAAATATCCAATTTATATTTTTTAACATGTTTACATATAGTTAGTGTATATCACCATGTATTATATATTAGTTTGTGTAGTTTAGATAACATTTCAATACTTCGGATGGTTTACAACATATTAACTAATAGTTGGTGTAGCTGAGAATGATTTTTCCATTACTTAATTATGCATATGAAAATGGTTTTATCAATTATGTGGAAAGAGTTATTTAATGTCAAACTCATTGTTCAAAAAAATTATTGTGACCTGGTCTACCATTCCAAATCATAATCTAACGGTACCGTCAAGATAATGAATTAGAAAGACTTACACTTCAATTTGAGTTCAAATTTGGATACTAGACCACAAATTCTCATGAGTGGATGAGTTTAAGTTAAGGAGGAAGACAAATTTGGTTACACAAAATCTTGTCTATAGTAACAATTGGATGAACGTGATGTTGTTTTTGACAAATGACTTAACACGGAGTGGTTTTGAAGTTGTCTACGCATCTGGAGTTGTAAGATTTGTGAAAACATTATTGGAACATGATTTAGAGATACTATTAAAAGGCAAAACACAATTGGATTTTTGTTTTGTTTTGAAGATTTAAAGAGAGATGGAAATATTAATTTGATAGAGATAAGAGTACAAATGACTATATCTCCCATTTAATTAGAAAAGTTTGTTAGTCTTACAAAGTTGGAGCATGAATTTCTGAGATAAAAAGGGTTAGAAAAGAACTGGTACAGCGAGAGTGAGGAAAAGCTTGTAAGCATTTGGTATTCTTTATGCGAGGAAAATGGTGAGAGTTTATCACAAGATGAAAATTCTAGATCAGTATTGTTAATATTAAAAATTTCATAGTGGTGAGTTGGATATAGATAGATAACGAGGTAAAATGTGTTCTTAAGGTCGTGCAAATCTGATTGAACAGTAATTGTAATAGTGTTTAAGAAACATTTCCTGCAAAATTTAAGAGACGTAAACAATTGTTTATTAATCTCATTAAAAAGTGTTATTCTCTTCTACTTGATAAAAGCGAGAGAAATCTCGTGTTGAAATCTAGTAATCTACACTAATCCTTAAAACATGTGTAGTTGAGTATTTGTGCTAATTAAGGTATCCAGAATAGCAAACTATAATTTAAATTGCAAAGGAAAAAAAATCAAACCATAATTTTTTTTTTCTTGTACATGAACGAAAGAGGTGGTAGATATGTAGTCTGATACTTGCAGGGTAAAGTAGAAAGATCCAAATACAGAGTAACTCAACACATATACACATTATTATTTTTTTTTTTGTTTTCAGTCCATTCATTTAATTATTTCAGAGCCAAGAACAGAGTAATTGATACTAAGGAACACAAATATTTTGTGGCTATTTTTTTCATATCCTGAAATTCAAGAGATGCGATGTTCCATCAAGACCTTTCTCAAAGTATCCATCTGTGTATTCTTTTATGGTTATGTCTCTGTATTTTGGAGGATTTTCTTCAGATACAAGCTCTTTCATTGGTCCATAAACTGTGGAATTTGGAAGTATACTTGAGCTGAAAAAGCTCGCTACTGAAATCCTTGGTCCTTGTCTATTAGCAAGCACTTGGTATACTTGGTCCTTGTTTCAGTTTTAAAAATCTCCAATGTTGATGACGAGAGCCCCAGGAAGAGGAGCGACATCGACCCAAGAGTCTTGATGAAGAATTTGAAGACCACCAATGTTGTCTTGAAGAAGAAGTGTGAGGAAAGAGTTGTCTGAGTGTTTAGTTATCCCCAAAGTTAGGTCAGGTTGTGGACAAGGTGGGTAATAATGACAAATCATAAGCAAAGTCTTCAAGCAATCCATACTCTCAAGGATATCATATCTCAAACCTAGGGCCTCCCGAGAGAAGCTCAAAGAGCAAACCACCTAAACTCATCACATGCTTTGAGTATTCGATCATAGCATCCCTGAGTCAATCAATAATGTTGTACTTAGCAAGAAAATACAACAAAACAAAAAAAGATAAAACTGAAACATGGACTAAACATTTCATATTTGATATGGCTGGTAAATTGGTGATTAGGGTTTTTGTTACCTGCAAGTCTCTGGGTTGGGGGATCTGGAGTCATGTAACAAGTAATTGAATCTCTCCAGTTAACAGACGGTGAAGAACTGTATAGATCGAAATTACTATTGTAGTCAAATTTCTTCTTGGCGGAATCACGCGAGAAGTATGATTTCTTGACCTCAGGATCTTCCTCATGAAACCTACGAACTCCATCTTTAATCTCTTCGAGAACGTTTAAAGGAACACCATGATTGATCACCTGAAAGA